GGGCAGGACGTGGGGGGCTAGTCGACGAGTGACGACGCATGGTCTTCTTTGTGCGAGTGCATGGACGCGCAAAGGCACTAGGGCTCGGTGCTGCGGGAGCACAGCCACACCAAGGTGTGTGTGGGCGCGGGCATGCAAAGACACTAGGGCTCGGTGCTGCAGGAGCACGGGCACACCAAGGTGTGTGGGTGCGGGCACACCAGGGGTTGTGGGGGCATGGGCACTGGGACGCCAAGGTGGGGTCAGGGGCGAGGAAGAAAGGGTCAGAGGCAAGGAAAGAGGAAGAAAAAAAAAACGTGGGGATAACACAGGAAAGGAAGAAACGGCAGAGGAACATGAGGAAAAATAAAAGGGGAAAAAGAAAAAGGCTAAGAACATCGTGGATATTTCATCGTTCCTATCTATCATGAAAAGTTGTTTTAACTAACTTTTTCTAGAATAATTTCAGCTACATAAGTGAAGCTGCTCCTCAAGCAAAGCCAAAAAAAATACACTCCAAAAATGAAGCACAACTGTACCAAACAGAACCTTAGTTATCGAAGTACTAAAATTTAACCGATGCTTAAAGTACATGTATCTTGGAGAAGCTTATTTATTACTTAGAAAATGGTGGCACATACTCTTCATGCGTCAACACACGACGCCGTGATATTATTGTATCAGGATCCACTTACCACTAGGCAGAGACAGATTTAAAGGCCTGGTTTAGTTAAAAAAAATTTCACCCTAAACTATCACATCAAATTTTGTGGCACATACTAGAGTATTAAATATAGACGAAAAAAAACTAATTGTACAGTTTGATGGGAAATCGCAAGACGAATGTTTTAAAACTAATTAGTCCATGATTAGCCATAAGTGCTACAGTACTAACATACGCTAATGATGGATTAATTAGGCTTAATAAATTTGTCTCGTAATTTCCAGACGAGCTATGTAATTAATTTTTTCTATTAATATCAAAAACTCCTTCCGATATTCCTGAAATATCTGATGTAACGTCAAAAAATTTTCATTTCACGAGCTAAACACAGCCTTAACTAAGTTCGGTGGTGTCTTGTTCGATGGGACGGGGAAACCCCCACATGGCCGCAAAAGTCAGAGCAGCGATTGCCTGAGTGCGTCCAGGATAGATACAGATCAGAGACATATAATCATCATATCACATCGCAAATAGATTGAGGCTCGTTTAGATTCACTCTGTAAAGTTTTGGGTGTCAACTCGGATATTACGTGGTATCGTACGAATTGTTTGGATACTAATAAGAAAACAAATTATACATATGTACTATATTACTTTATTATAAATTATAGACTAATTAGGTTTAAAAGATTCGTCTCGCCAATTAGTCGTAAATTGTGCAATTAATTAATTTTTTTTGTCTATATTTAATACTCCATACGTGTGTCAAATATTCGATGTGACAGGATATAAAGTTTTGAGGTGGGAACTGTACCAGGGCTGAATCAATCGTCTCTCTCCATGCGATTCTCGGTTCCCAGATGACTCATATCAGATCTATGCGTCCGATGCAAAGAACCTCCCGTTTCCAAAGAGAGGAACACAGGAGTACATGTAGTTCAGTGCACCTCGCCGTTTGATCAAAGCTTACTTAATGCATCATGGACTTTTGAGCCAGGGAATAATCATGATTAAGTAATTCTTGATTTTTTACTTCTGTTTTCCACAATTTCTGCAATAATAAAGTTCAGCCGGCCGAAATGGCAACCGCTGTAAAAAAGGGAAATCGTGATTTTTTTTATAGATAATGCAAAAGCAGCGCAACAAACTGAACTAGACAGCTACTAGAGCAAAATAAGTACTCCCTTCCATTCAAAATTATAAAACATTTTATTTTTTTAGATACATAGTTTTTGTTATACATAGATATAAACTATGTCTAGATATATACAAAATAATGAAGAAAAGTCAAAATATCTTATAATTTAAAATAGAGGGAATAGTATTTTGCAAAAGATAATGTTGCATAGGTTCTACGGCTATGCTACATTAAAATGTACAAGGAATCTAGTTGGGCAGTGCCAATAAAAAATCTTTGCAAAGTGGGTAATTTGTCTTTCAGGTGGATGCTTCTTATTTTAGCGGTTGACCTGAGAAGAACGATGAAATAGAATCTATCACAATTTTTAATCTTGTCAAAGCTCATTTATACTGTTCATTATCCTTATCTCAGAAGGTCAACACCAAGGATATAAACTCCTATATTTAACGAAAGTCAATCTGCATTGCCGGATGATCAAATTCAGATGCTCATTGCCAAGATGTTCCATTTGTGCTCTGAATTCCCAAGACTCCAATATAAAATGCGCAATCCGTAAAGTTTAGTCAGTACATTACTCCTGCTTCAACATTTGGAAACTTGGTGTCTCTTTTTAAGCCCTTGTTTAGTTGCTACCCAATTTCCAAAAAAGTTTGCTACAGACTGTCACATCGAATAAAGTAATGGAGTAACGAAAAAGAAAAACTAATTGCACAGTTTCAGAACGTTTTAAGCCTAATTAGTCAATGGACACTATTTGTCAAATCAAAGGTCTTCTGATGAACCCAAAATCCAAATTTCGCGAACTAAACAAGGGCTAAGTTCTCTTTCTACAATAAAGTAATAGATCAGAATGATTAGTCAAATATAAACAATGGGTGATGCAATTCTTCTTTGGCCATTGATCTTCCAGTATACGGAGTATCTGAAAGTACAAGTTGCTTCCCTTCCCTGCAACAATAGGAATAGGAATCTTATAATAAGAGCTAGATTTCCGGGGCACACGTGAAATTGTCGACCCAGATCCCACAAATTTTCTATTCACCGACCTCATGCTGTCGTACGTCCACTAGATTTCAAGTTGGGAGAAGAAAAAAAAATGCAAAACCAATCGAATAAGTATTATATCCCCCACTAGATTGCGTTAGAACAGACAAATTAGTGCAAATATCGACTAATTTGGCTGTATTAGTATCATCTATCAATGGCCAGAGGGAATTAATATATGTGGCTACAAATACAATGATAGAATAGTTCATGCGGGGAATCTTAGCCCTCCAAGTTGCAAAAATGCATCTTCTCATAATTGTACAGCACGTTCCGAATTGATGCTAGTTCATTGCTGAACGTTGATATATGTGTCCATGCCAACTGGTGAAAATGAACTCACACGGTTAGTTGCTCAGCGATACGAACTGTGACAAACTAATAGCTTTTACCAAGATGCTAGCGCCCGAACTGCACCCCGTTTCCCGCGGTTGCTCGTTTTGCGTGCCCAGGCAGGCCCGCGCTGCCCGGACGTCTCCCGCGCCGACCGACCACACGTGGGCGCTCGCTCGGCGGCTCCCCAGTAGCAGTAGGTGGGTCTCATTCAACATGTGCAACATCCAGATCTACTTTTGCAACATCCAGATCCGAAACAGCTGAAATATTTACAACATATGTCTGAAATACTTGCAAAACACCAGAAAAACATGAAAGCATGTGTGTAACTATTGCAAAACATTGCAACAGCCAGATGAAAACACTTGTAACATACGTATGAAAATACCTGAAACACTTGCATTATATGCAACATCCACAGCTAGTTTTGCAACATCTAGATGAAACATTTGCAACATACGTCTAAAAATAGATGAAATAATAGGAATATACACTTGAAACATACATATATAACCATTGCAACATGTGCAACATCTCAATCTACTTTTGCAACATCTACATAAAACACTTGCAACGTACCTCTGAAACATTTGAAAGATACATTTGCAACATGCGACGTATCCTGATGCAGCCTTCTCAGCCGTCTACAGCGGGGCGCCGCATAGCAGGAGCGTGAGGCCGGAGGGCTTCCACACTAGGGCCTGACGCTTGTCCTTGCGCCGACGGCGGCTGTCGTCGTCGTCAGGCACGAGCACGCGCGCGGCGGCTTCGGTGGCCAGTTGGCGGCCAAGGAAGCTATCCCCAGGCGTGGGCGCGGTGGTGTGCCCGCGTCGTCTGGCGGGGCGGGTGGCAGAGCAAGAGCAGTAGCAAGGGAGGTCCAGTGGCCGTGGGGGCTTGAGCGGTGGAGGTGACAGTGGTAGAGTTTTAAGGAAGGAAAGGAAGAAAACACCATAGAGGATGGACGAAGTAGAGCAGGGGAGGTCTCTTTTTCTTATCCTTACCAGGCCAGCGCACAATAAAAAAAAACTAGAGGCCTATTTGGTTGGTCAGCAGGTCATGCGGTGCACCTGCAGGCCCACCGTCCGGACGCCCTGAACACAGTCCGTCCGTCCGGATGCCCTGAACACAGCATTACCGTAGCTTATATGGCTCAACAATAGCATCCGGTGAACTTGTACCGATTCTTCTCAAAACTAGATCGAGTTGAAATGAAGAAAAATGCCTCGAGAACTGGAAAACAAAACATGCTGTATGTATATGTAGTTTCTCTTTCATTATATCAGACGATCTTCATAGATGAAACAGGGCAGTTTTTCACCTAAATTCAAGCGGAAGTGTACAACGATTTGGCTGGCCTTAGTGATCAGTTGTGTATATTGATACGTTCTTTTTGTTGGCTCAGGTCAGGTGACCAGATATTTAGTGTATATATCAGAATAAGCAACCAAGGGCACATAATGCAAGTATGCAACTAAAGCAAATTTTGCTGGAAAAGAACACAATTCATGTATCTTTACTCATTAAGTAAAAACTGCATGATTCAGTGTTTAGCAAGCAACGGAGCAGTAAATTTATGTCACAATCAGGTTACAGAACTCTACAAAAGGCTGACGATTTTCTGTGTGTTTGTTCTTGCTCTCCTGGGGAATAGCAAGCGGACCCCTGAAACTTCAGAATATGAGTTTCAAAATTTTGTATCTCTAGTATCAGAACTGGACTAAGCTGGACAGTGTCACTACTAAGAATATCAGAACGGTATCAACCTAACTTCCAGATACTTTTATGGGCGTGTTCTGATTGATAATCATGCTCATCTGAGTAATTTCTGATAACATCCTAGGTTGTAGGTTCCTTTGCCTCTACCTCTGGCTGTGACTCTGATATTGGGATCCTGTGAAAGCAAGCAAGAAACTCCTTGTTCCCTTCTGCACCCTTTATAGGAGATTCGATCCAACCCTTATTGCAGAATCCAAATTCTTCCACGCCTGAAATTATTCTATCCAGTACCTGGAGTGAAAGGATCAAAATAGGGTGATTCCCAGGTCGCAATTCAATGGGAAAACAAATATTTGAAGTAAAAGCAGACAATACAACTAACATCACAAATATCGCACCCTTGCTCAGGATAATCGAAGATCCTGGTGAATTATTTTTATTTTATGTACACAACAAATTATCATTCAATTTCCATCAGTAAATAGGCACACTATTGCAAGGAAGCAACATGTTTGTAGTCAGAATACAAAATATTGAGAAATAACTTTTTTTTTACAAGAGCTTAATGGCATTACTATAGGAACAAGGTTGAAAGCAAAGCAGAACTGCTACCTCTTTATGAACCAGAGGATCTCGAACAATCCCTCCACCTCCTACCTGAGCAAGATCAAACAAGATTTATTTGATTGGGTTATCAATATTAATGTACATATAGCAAGTAGCCCAAACTCCAGCTGGGAAGAACCACACTTTCCCTTCAATCTTACCTGTGATCTACGTGCTTCAAACTGAGGCTTGATAAGTGTTATCAATGTAGAATCCGTCTTCATTACTTTGATAACAGCAGGCATGTCCTAGATTTCACAGATAACATAAGTCCATGCTAGGATAATATAAGGCATGACCTAAATACAAATGAAATAAAAAAAAATAGAGCAGGCTAACACACTTGCACCACATATTCGCATGGGACAAATGCAATTCATTTTCCTAATGCATTTCTACCCTATTCCAGTTTCTGATCTCATGCTAATAACTTCTGAAAATTGGTGGTACTCATATGTGTGGTTGATTGGGTTCTTGAACAATATATAACAAAGCGAACTTGAGTCTGAAGCCATTAACCCTTTACGTCATGCAAACTATACACTATACCAGGAATGAGTTTTCACAACAGAAAAACAATCATTTTTCTAACACATGGTAAAGATAAGATGAAAGGAAAAACAGAACAGACTTGGATAGTCGGCCCATACATTCACATAGGGGAAAATGCATTCGATTTTCCCAATGTATGTTTTTACTCTGCTGTTTTACTCTTACTGAAGCTGATGACAAGCCTAATAATTGTTGAAATTTTATTTGATCATCTGTGCAGTTTCTTGGGTTGTTTTACAATATATAACAAACATAGCTTCATGAGAACTTGATTTTAATGCTCAGTAATTCTTTATAACGCTAATTATACAAAGAAAGCACTAAACCATAAAGAAAGGAAATTGTGAGCACAGAATAAAAATCAAACAGACCAAAAAAAGGCACTATTCTAACAACTAGGGTAAAATGCATCATTCACTTTATTAACATATCAGCTATATGATATGTGTTTCGTTAGAAAATGTTAAACACACAGATAACCTTCTGGCTGCTAAATATTCATGATAATAAAGTGGACATTAAATAATACCAAGAGAATGGAGATAAATGATAGGTCCAGTGTCACCAAGTCAACTGGTTCTGGCAGTTGAGACAGATATCTTAAATTTGTGCGTTCAATCACTGAAACACGTTCATGTGTGCGAATTTTTTCAGCCACCTGAAATGGAGGACACATTGAGGTTTAGAGTCATATTACTGGAGATGCGTAACAACTACCTGCAGCTGACAGATAAAGTGGTAGGACTTAGATAACATCAAAGAAGCAAAGAAACCTGTCCATAGCCAACATCTACACCATAGACATGTGATGCTCCATGCTGAAGTAAACAGTCAGTAAAGCCACCTGTAGATAATCCTGAATCAAGGGCTATCTTTCCATCACAATTAATAGCAAATCCTTTGATGGCTGCCTCAAGCTTATGTCCTGCTCTGTATTTTATTTTATTTTTAAAAAAAAAGATAGAGAGGATGACAGTAAGCTTCAGAAAGGAGTAATTTTGTATATTGCAAATCACAAAAAACTTTAAGCTAATTAATTAGAGCATCACCTACATACATATTTTGGGATTTCAGCCTTGATTTCGATGACAGACTTGTCAGATACTTGTGTTCCAGCTTTATTCATAACTCTTCCATCCACAATGACTTTACCTACAGAAAGATAAAGGTTCAATAAACAAGAATAGTTTTATCAAGTATGGCTCTGGGTACAAAGTATATAATTAAAAAATGGCAGATGTCTAAAATCAAAATGATATCAGAAATTTCCTACCATAGTAGGGATGTCATGTAATTTTTTTTCGAACAACCAATTAAACAGAACAAATCTAAGCAATCTATACACTACCAACAGAGATATATTTGAAGGTGACAGGAAACAAAATTTTATAAAAAATAAGGATTTTAAACAAACTTAGATAATTTGCTCAGGTACTAATGAGCAAGCAGAACAAAAAAACATTGGAAGAACACAGGGAATGCTGGGCTACTTGTTTGTATATGACCACTTCCAGAAGTACAAGGATCAAAATGCACAGAATCATCAAAAGAATGAACTAACCTTGAAGAATCCATGACTGGATGTATGTTCTACTGTATTGTAGAAACCTTTCTAAGCACACTTCATCCAATCGCCTTTTTCTGTGTTAGAAGTAAATGAAATTGAGAAATAATATTACTCAAATAAGATAATCTCAAGAAAAGAAAGGCATACTGTAGGCCTTTAGCACTTTTTTTATCTGCCTCTTTTAATAGCAACTGTCTTTTTTCCAACAGAGGAACAACTACTTTTGAGTAAGCAAATACTAGTAGTCTAGTAAAGTTAGATCAAATAACAAATTAACAATTAAACAAAAAAGGTAGCAACAACTATCTAGGACCACACATTCCCATATATTATGAACCTAAATAAACATAGTTGAGTTTAGCATCAGTAACTGTCACCACAATGGCAAGCTTATTCAAGTTTCGAAATGCACTGCCAGCACAACAAGCCACACAATGCCATCACAATTACAATGGTGTACGGAATATGTGCTATGTGACAATAGAATTTGATAAATTCTGTTCTATGGAGTATGGTCCAAATGACCAGCAAACAAATCCACATCTTATCATCATCATCATCACACTATAAAAGAGCGAGTTTTTTTTGAGGGGGCTCTCCCTCTCTAATAACCGTTCGATCTAGACGTCGTGCTATGTGAGCCCTCCATCCTCCGTGATCTTACATGTAAGATGTAAGACTCCTCCTAAACCAAGATTCTTCCTAGACCCTAAAAAAGGAAAATAATAAAAAACTGAACACACGTAATTTTGTAAGACTCCTCCTAAACCAAGATTCCTCCTAGACCCTGAAAAAGGAAAATAATAAAAATCTGAACACACGTGATTTTGTTTGTTACGACAAAAAGATTTTGTTTGATACGGAAAAAAGGAAAATAGAAAACTAACATGTGAGGATGATGCGGAGCGAGTTTTTTTAAGACTCCAACACCCATATGAGCGAAAAGCGAAATTATCTAGTTCGAGGACTCCGACACCCATATGGGCCAAAAAGACTCCGACTCCCATATGAGCCAAAAATATTAATGCAAAAATATGTTTATCCAAGCCACAAATTTCACCCATACGAGCCAAATTATCTTGTTCGAGGACTCAGACACCAATACGAGCCAAAAGGACTCTGACATCCATACGAACCAAAAATATTAATGGAAAACATGTTTATAGGAGCCAAAAATATTAATGCGAAATGTGTTTGAACTCGATATTAATATTCCCATTGCATTTCAAATACTTTTCATAAACAAGTGCGTGTCGCACGGGCATATTTGCTAGTTTAAAAAACCAGTGACTACATACACCTCCATTTTACCAGATACATTGATTTGACAATAGCCATACAGCACGGCGCTTGATTACATGCATGTGCGCAAATCAGGAAAATAGCATGTATATGTATCAGAATTTTCAGAACACTTGCTTCTTGGGAAGCTGAATCTTTTGAGCTCTGACAGCCACGAATGCACGGGAAGGAGGACAGCAGCTTGGCCGGAACCCAACCAGCCTAACTATGAAACCAGGGGCGGACCCAGTAAAGGGCATGGTGGTACACTTGTAAACCCAATAAGTTTTGCAAAAAAAAAAAAAAAAAAAAAAATCGAAGTTAGTAGGCATGTATACAATTGTAATTAGAACAGATCCGAATACAAATAGCTTAACTTAGGGTTCGGTTGTTCGTGTTTTCCGCACAGCAGGAACGAAGGAGAGGATGCGCATACCTCGTGCGTGCTCGTCAGCGGCGAAGCACGCGACGAAGGCCTGGTAATTGAAGGGACCGACGAAGGCCTGGGCAGGGCGTCCGCGTCGGCGGATGCCTAGATGCCGCACGCGAGAGAGGGACAGCGCGCGCACGCTGGGGGAACGGCAGAACAAAAGCCTGAGAAGTGGCGACTGCATCCTGTTCCGGCAGGGCAGGATGAGAGTGTTTTTCTTTTCAATTTTACCATTTTCGTAAACCTTTTTACAAATAGATCCAGCGAAAAATAGATTCAAAGTTAAATCCACGACGAGATATATGGCTCGGCATTGATCAACCTAAAGCTATCCCTATCCGACTTGCTAGGGTGCTAACGATGGTGCCCGCACAGGGAGGGAGCGTGTCCCTAGCGCGTGAGCTCGCGAGCGAGCGCACTAGCAGTGGGCCCACGCCGTTCCAAACGTCGCCCGCACCACTAGCCGCTTCCCACGCGCATCCCATGCGCAATATTCGATCTACTTTTGAAACATCTAGATGTAAAAGTTGCAACATAAAAAAAAACAAATGAAACACTTGAAACAAACATCTGAAACATTTGTGAAAACGCTTGAAAAACATTTAAAAACCATTGTAAATATATGCAACATCTAAACGAAACACTTGCAAACATGCGTATGAAACACCTGAAAACACTTGAAAACACATGCTTGCAATATGCATGTATATGCAATATCCATATCTACTTTTGCAACATTTAGATAAAACACTTACAACATGCATGTCTGGAACAGATGAAACATACACTTGGAACATACGTGTATAGCAATTACAACATGTGTAACATCCCGATCTACTTTTACAAGATTGATATACAACACTTGCAACATACCTCTGAAACATCTGAAATATCTGAAACACTTCAAACGTATTCTCGTAACATGCGCTAGTTAGAAGGACGTCAACGGCCCAGCGTACACCCAGGCACAAGCGTAGGCCTCCCCTTCCCGTCGACGTGTGAGGTTGATGGGGGTGCAGGGGGCATGCCTCCCCTGCTCCTCTTCCGCGATGGGTGAGGTGGATGGAGACGCGGCACGAGATGGTGGTGCGGACCGTGGAGCAGCCATGGATGAGGTGCGGGTGCTGCATCGCCGAGCTGGAGAAGGCCGCGACGGGCAGGTGCGCTGCCTGCTGCAAGCGACCCTTCATAGATACGACGGAGAAGACGAGTAATTTTTTTTTGACATACGGAGACAGAGTGCAGACATGCTCTGAAGCAACGAGCGAAGTGCAGGGCGTCTAGAGGGACGAACGCCTGCATCCTATCGTTACCGTAACCCTACCGTGATAGCGTTAATCTGACCAATAGGTCAAATCTTGAAGTGCAGTAGGCAGCATACCCCGTACGATCGTACGAGCCAACAGATGTATACTTGTCTATTTAAGATTTATTGAAAAATAAGTAGTATCAATTTGACATAAATAGTATCGAGAAGTAGCTAAAGCCTGTCTTGCATTAGGGCCTTTTTGACACGGCTTATGCCGGCTTTAGCTTCATCTATTTTACGCAAATCGAGGCACTGTAGCGTGAAGCCGTTTTGTAAGCCGGGGTTAAAATAAACTAGAAACCGGGAAAAGCCAGTTTTTCTGGCTTCACCAGCTTTGGCTTCACCGGTGAAGCCGTTTTGGATGAGCCGTGCCAAAGAGGGCTTTAGTATGCAATTTTGTTAATTCTTTAAAACCGGATCCTTACTGAACGAGGCTGGTATAAACTTACCTTTTTTACTTTGGAGCAAGTCAATTTATCAGTGGTATTCAACGAATTAGCTTCTTAAGATGTACCACCAACATATCCTTTCTTCGAACGAAAAATGGTAAATGAGTTATTCCCTTGTGAATTACTAGAAGATGTCCCACACGTTATTATATGGACCGTGGATAGATATCTCATTTTTCTTATATATTGAAAATAATAATTGCATTTAGTGGAAGTTGATGTGGATAGCTTACATTAACAAGTTAAAATTAATTAGGATAATGTGGCATTTAGTGAAAGTTAATGTAGATAGATTGCATGTTGAGATAGAAGATCATTCGTTGAGATAGAAGATCAATGATGTTACGACTATAAGATACATAGAACTAGAAATATCGTGCGCTTTGCTGCGGGGTTGTAACACCCTCGGTGTTATACAATGAATCACTTGCTAAAACATGTCATGAGCATCATACTTAAGTGATATTGCATGTGGTGTGATGAATAGGTAAAGCATTGTAACTTAAACGAGTCGTAAAAACATAAAACGAAAAGTTAATTCACGATTTATAAAGTTAGCAAGTAGAGATGTTAACTAATTTTTATTGAACAAAAACGCTATAAAACATATATGTGACACCTTAATAAAGTTTAAAGTACATATTTTGTAGAAGATAGTGCAACTTTTGTTTTAACAAGATAATAACGCTAGCTAACATTTCTAATAGCTTAGAAATCGAATTTTAAGCAAATCCAACTCAAGACTTAGTCAATTTCTTAAGTATGAAAACAGATTGACAAAGCTATGTTTGGTAATTTATTCTATAAAAATTGAGTCTAGGAGTGGTGTCGTTCTTTAGCTCTTGTTGATAGCCTAAGGTGCCCTCTTTAGAGTAGTGAAGGTGGTTTAGGGATTGGATCAACTGTGTAGTTATTTCAAACGCTTTAAAATTCATGCACAACGTGTTCTCGGGTTGTTTTTCCCGGCTGGACGTGATCACTATGCCGAGCGGCCTCGATGTCATGGCACTCGATGCGTGCAAGCACGTGCGTGGCTGCGCGCTGGCCGGCCGGAGCTGCCCATGCTCTGGCCGCATCACTGGCCGCCGCTGCGCGGAGCCATGGCTGCCTGACGTCGAGGATGGGTAGCTTAGCATCTTAGTCATTAGAGTTAGCTAAGTAACTTGGTAGATGTATTGTTATTTTAAGAGTTGCTGTTGTCGTAATACTAAGTGTTGTATCATCATTGCATGCATGTAGAGAACGAGTTGGTGGAGTTTGTGACCGTGGGCGAGCAGGAGTATGAGGAGGTGATCGAGGAGTATGAGGAGGTTCTCGTACAAGAGGGAACCCCGGAGCCACCAGTGACTGACTTTGCTGACACCCTGTCTGCCGAAGGCAAGCCCCAGTGCATAACCCTTATTTTGAATAATCACTGGATATATATATGTGATATGCATTTACGTTACTGGCTTATTGTTGAAACTACATGCATAGATATACCTACCTAGGAGTCCTACTAGCTTAGGTCGATTAGCTTCTATGCTTAGGTTTTTCGGT